AATTAAAACTAGTTTCTATGCCACTAGTTCCTGGTGTGTAAGTTTCATGCCCAGATTTCAAATCGCCTACTGATTCCTCCATTCCTTTATTCCTCTGATTGGCCTTCAGGTCCGTAGAAATTTGGGCCTTGAATGCCACAATTTTCTCATATATTTTGTTTAAATCTAGCACAGTATCTCCCATTGCTTCAAGCTTAGTTTCCAATTTGCCAGTAACAACCTTAAAGCTAGTACCCAAGTCTGCTAACTCGAGATCCAATTTCTTCAAATGTTCATCAGTAGTTTGCGATCTTGTATCCATTTTTTTTAATTACCCAGTATAGCATGCCTGCTCTGTTACCATTTGTCACGAATTGAGCTCCAAACTCAGCTCCTCCTTAACCGTAATTCGTCGGAAACTGATCTTAGCTGAAGTCAGCTGAGAGTTAAACCAATTAAATGAAGAAAAACAGAAATTGGGGTAGGGAAAAAGGTTGTAAAACTGAGAAGTGATGAGAGATAAAAGGAATTGAAGAATCAATTCACAATTAACTGAAATTTCATACCAGAATTCGACATACAAAAATCACGGACTGCCTTACCTCATCGCACATGGAGGCAAATTTATACAAGGCAGGCAAAAGTCGTATTTTCAGAATTGAATTACAAAAAAACGTTTTCCATTACTGCTAAATGACACCGTCTCACTTCATGATGAAACGACACAGTTCCAATTTTAAATGTTAGTTGCCCGTTGGTTCTTCTTCTTCCCTGGCTTTTGGCTTTGCTTTCTTCTTCTTCTTTTTGATTGATCTGCTTCCTTTCTTTCCCCAGTTATCACCTATGTAACACTTGTCTGATGAAAAGATTCTTACTTCACTGGATTTGGGAATAAAAACATTACTCTGGTTATCCTTCTATGCTTACTCGCAATTTTGCAAAGCCAATTCTTGAAATTTGGTGAACATAAGTACGCACTCAGTTTAAGGCTCTGGTGGGTACTTTTATTCTTAATTTCTTGTTATTGCTTAGTGATAGACCTTATTTATTACACATAGCACCAAACTTTATCTACTCTGTTTTGGTATCTGATATAATTTCCATTGTGATGAGTGTTTTCTTCTGTTATGTGGGGTTTTGGGTCAAGAAAGACGATGAAAATAGAACTTGCAGAACTGAAGCTGGGGAATGAACTTACGTTAGCCCCACAGATTCAAAACTAGGAAGAATGGGATAAGAACTAGCAATATAATCTGGGCAGTGGGCAGCATACAAAGGTTCTNAAACTAGGAAGAATGGGATAAGAACTAGCATGGTTTGAAAAAACGTGAACGGGTATTGAGGCGTTTTTTTATCACGAGACGAGGCGTAAGCCTCACCACAAACAAAAAAATTTAAATAATATTGAATTCTTGACATTTTAATTACTATATAAAAAGTTGACATGAATAGCAATAAGAAACAAAAAAAAATCTAAGTACACCAAGGAACTCAAATATAAATATTGGACAATCATTTTAAGTACACCAAGGAACTCAAATATAAATATTGGACCATCATTTTGAATAGATCAATTTAAATTTTCGTTTCTCGTACACAAATTAACTGATATTGGTTGTCAAAAAATGAACTCCTAGTTTAGTTTGTTTATTAACTCTTTCGATAAAATCAATTTAAACAATTGGATTATAATTTGAAATCAATTTACATTTAAATACAAAATAAATTCTTTTTAAAAAAAATTAATTTCAATGTTTTATATATTATTTAAAAAAATTATAGAAGTAAATTTAAATTTAATATAACAAAATAAGATATAACACTAAATTATTTTAATTACAAAATAAAAAGTTTAAAATATGAGAAATAAAATTTTTTAATACAAATATAAACTTATCCCAATATAATAATTGTAATTTTATTAAATTTTTACATTGAATTTTACAAGAGCATTCCATAAGCCCATTTTACATTGGGTTTTAAAAGAATATTCCAAAAGCCCACTTCAAATCAATCAATTAGGGCACAATCGTGAATCGGACTCGGCGCTTTGGTCGCCATACCCGTGTCGACATGACATGACACGGGTACGGGTACGGAATATGGGTCGGAGACGGCAAAATTCAACCGGACACGGCCAGGGAAAAAGAAGAAGAAGTCGTGTAGGGAAGAAGAATAACAAGAAGAGCCACAAGAACAAGATGAGCCAGAACCTGCGGTGTGTTGCTGCCAGAATTGCAGAGAGTCAGAGACGTAGGGTAGAAGAAGGAGGGAGTTGGATCGGGCCTATTTGTTGTTTCTAAGTTTTGGGCCTATTTTTTGTTTCTAAGTTTTGGACCTTAAAAAATTGCTGTTTTTTTTTTTTTTTTTTTTAAAAGAAGTTTATTCATTGTTGTTAAAATATATTTATTGAGTTTATCTTTTTCTTCGAATTTTACATTTTTATTGGTTGAGCAAATTACACGANCGCCTCACAGTGAGAGGCGCGCCTCATCAGCGTTTTTTAAAACCATGAGAACTAGCAATTTAATCCGAGTAGTCGGCAGCATGCAATAGTTTTACTTTTGGCTACAAAAATTTAAAGATAGGTTGAATAATATAACTGTGTTTTGATAATTTATGGTGGAGAATCTAATAGGAATAGTTTTGTATGTATAAATATTTGAATGCATAACAGCCTTTGGCAACCCGACCGACACTTGATTGGATTGAGTTGGGTTGGATTGGATTGGATTTCAACATTTACACGAGTTGGGTTGAGTTGGTTTGACTGCCATGTTAGGTTGGGTTTGGGTCGAGGTAAAACCCACCCCACCCCTACCCTAATGATCAGTACGAAAATATGTTACGACAGTCCTTCCTATGACCCCTGTATCAGTTGAGAGAGGTGCAGTACTTTGGGCGTATCGTTGATGCACTACTATGTCAGCTACTTAGGTTAGTCGACGGTGATGCCATCCATTTCAACCTCGGGGTCAAGGTCTCTAGTTTTTCTATGTTTTAGCTTGCCTTGATGAATTTTCGGAAGATTACGGGCGATGAAACAGCTCGCGACGGTAATGTATATAAATAAGTATTTTCGAAAGACTAAAGATAGTAGCAAGAAGAGGTCTATTGATTCAAGAACATGTCTTTGACAATCGACTGAGGGGTTTGGGGTGGGGGAAGAAGAAGTAGTTATTTTTGTTTTAATTATTTATTTAGGACTTATTTGTAGTTTTTTGAAAAATTTAGGATTATACTGCAATTAGTTCTTTATTTTTTTCCTTTGTTTTATTTAAATAAGAGGGTATATTTGTCATCTATGTTGCTCGGACTCGGCGTTTTGGTCACCATACCCGTGTCGACACGACATGAACGGGTACGGGTACGGAATACGGGTCGGAGACGGCAAAATTCAATCGGACACGGCCAAGGAAGAAGAAGAAGAAGTCGTGTAGGGAAGAATAACAACAAGAAGAGCCACAAGAGCAAGAACAAGATGAGCCAGAAGAAGAAGAAGAGCCAGAACCTGCGGTGTGCTGCTGCCAGAATTGCAGAGAGTCAGAGACGCAGGGTAGAAGAAGGGGGAGTTAGATCGGGCCTATTTGTTGTTTCTAAGTTTTGGGCCTATTTTTTGTTTCTAAAGTTTTGGACCTTTAAAAATTGCTGTTTTTTTATTTTTTTGTTTAAAAGAAGTTTATTCACTGTGGTTAAAATATATTTATTGGGTTTATTTATCCTTTTTTTGGAATTTTACATCTTTATTGATTGAACAAATTGCACGATATTTATTATTTCTTAAGTATGCTTTTTGTTCTTTTAATTTAGATAAGATCATTTTAGTTTAAAAAAATATCATGATTAATGTTGTTACAAAATTTTAAAACAATTTAAAATATGATTTTTCTTTGACCAAAATGAACGATAGATAATTATAAAATCAACATACAGAATTTTTTTTACAA